GCATAGCCCAGGGGGGGGGGGGGGGGGGCTTCTAAGGCCCCCCCCCTATGATCTCGGCCGTGAAACGCCCGATCGCCGCGAAAATTTGCAAACATGTCAAGTGAAGTGTATAGAATACTATGGTAATTTCAATTTTTTGAAAAATCACTCATTTGCATATTTATGGTAATTTATGCAAATAAGGTCATACAATTCACATTTTTGCCCATAAATCAGACATTATTCATATTTAAGCATTCTTTCTCACTACATACATTAGTTAGACCATTTGGAATAATAATACAACGCAACAAATTGAAAAACCAGGGTTATTCCTTATGTTATCTATTGTTTTGATAATTTCTAATGTATTTCTTTGTTTTTTAACTTATGTATTTCATTATTTTTGTTGTTTTATTTCATTTCCAACTATAATTCAACTATTTTGACCCCAAAATAAACACCTCAACTATAAACAAGACCAAATAACCAATGCTTTATCTCTTTATTTGAAAAATGAGATATCCATATGTTTTGTACACAAATCACAAAAATGAGCTGACGGGCTGACATGCAAAGACAAAAGGACACGTGACTTTGTAATGGTAGGTCCGATTTTCGAAAAATTTCTGTCAAAAGATGCGCAAGACTGGAAAGAAAAAAGTCACAAAATTTCAGTGCAAGCTTTTCTTGCGTTAAAAAATTATCGCGAAAAATGTCGAGGGGGGAGGCTTCTAAAGCCCCCCCCCCCGGGCTAAATAGGGATAAGACGCCACTCTTTTTTATGATTATTCTAGTATGGACGGGCGTTATATAGTGCAACAGGTCACGCCATGACGTGTTCATCATTCATCACGATCCCATTCGTTTTGCACGTAATGCCTGCTAGTCCTGTCTAGGCCCCTCCATTTAATCCGATTCCTTTCTAAATTCGTATTCATATAGTCTCTTCTTCTTCTTCTTCGTTTGGTATTATAATGGCTATTAGTCAAATTTGACTATTGTTGCCAATTTCATCGCATCTCTTTCTTTTAATGACTTGGTAAAGTTATTTTGTATTTCTTTCTTTTTCCAATCTCATTTTAATATAATATTAGTCATAGTCTACAAAAAACAAAAACAAAAAATTATTTCAAATTAAACCATGATCCGCACACAGTTCCAACTCACGCTGGCCCTGTCCTTTTTATGATGATAACTATTCTTTCTTTCTTGCTCTGTTTCTTCCTATTTCCCTTCAATATACTTTTTTTTAAAATAAGTTGGGGGGGGGGGGGGAGCTCGAGGCTTCCGATCCTGACATGTAGGCATCTCAAAAAGCATATTTCTTGCCTGACTGCAAACTTCGGAATTTGCCATTTTCCATCAAACGCATAAAAAAGTATAATTTACTAAAAAGTGAGGAAAACTCTCGAAAATGATGTCATTTCAGCATTATTTGTAAATCACCGTCATGGAAATAACGGTGGTACCTCTATATAGAAAACTTCCCCAATCGGTGCCTATTGGTCCCTCATGATCCTCTATTTCTTGTGTTATTTGAGAGCTGAGTTGATGAGATAGCCACCTGTCAGTGACCTCGCGGTGTGGTCTAATCCCTCCTAGCCACACTAGTGTTGATAAGCTAATAAACGTTAATAAACGTTTGAATGTTATTTATACCAAGTCCCCCCTCCCCTATCGGTACGTCAGTGCCACACCCCCCCCCCCTACGATCTACACTTTGTTTGCGGGAAAAATCGCAACTGATCTCCTCTACCGTTCTTATTTCTCTTTTTTTTCCCCCTTTCTCTCCTCTTTCCCTTCCCTTCCTTCTCTCTCTTTTAGGTTTGCTGGGGTAGGGGAGGCAAGGGCCTTTCGGCCTCACCCGATCCACATGTTGTTGGCGGGATAACCGTTACTGATCTCCCCTTCTTTACACCCTTTTCTTTTCTTCTTCATCTTTTTTGTTCCCGTTTCGCTCTCCTCTTTCCTTTTTCCTTTCTTCTCCCTTTTTTTAGTGGAGGCGGGGGGGGGGGGGGAGGCAAGGGCCATTTGCCCCACCCCCCGACCCACAACTTGTTAGCGAAAAAATTGCAACTGATATCCCCCTTCTTTACTTTTCTTCTTCCTTTATTTCTTTCCCTTTATCTGCTCTTTGCCTTTTTTCTTTCCCTTTCCTTCCTTGTCTCTTATTTTTTTTATGAGGGGGGGGGGGGGGGTGGAGAGGCAACAGCCTGTGACGCAAGACCCTTTCGCCCCTAGTCTCCTTCTTCCTTTTTTCTTTTCTTCTTTCTTTCCCTTCCTCTCCTTTTCCCCTTCCCTTCTTTTCCTCCTCTCTCTCTTTTTTTTGAGGGGGGGGGGTGGGGGCAAGGCCTGCTCGACACCCCCCCCCCCTTGCATCCGCGCCTGAAAAAAAAAATTGATGTGCTAACTTCAGTTTTGGTTTGTTTACATCAATGAGTGTTTTTGTCAGAGGCTTATGTTCATGAAAGCTTATAAATCTGTACAACAATTATTAATGGAGAAATCAAAAAGGCATGAGGGATTTATATGTTAACTGAGTGTCTGAAATGAATCAAACTGGGCTAGGTTATTTTAACTTGGTTAGAGAAAAGTTATGCAAGAGTTGTGATGTGCATTATAACAGTGCAAGTTGAATTTTGCTCAAGTTGAACTTGATATACATGGCTTGAGATTTATTTTCCAATACAAAAGGATTACTGGAGTAGTTTAAACTTTAATATTTGCAAGGTAATTATTGCAGATATTTCATGAAGATAATTATGATTTAGACTACATATGTATCTGATGACTAGTGGTCATGATGCAAGATAGGATACAACAGTTATTATTCAATAATGACACAGAGAGACATGTTTTGATGGTTCAGTCAAGTTTATTATTTGTATAAGAAGTTCAATTCAGAGCTTCATAGTCTAGACAAATATGTATTCAGTGTTAATCAAGGTACTGAAGGTACATGTCTAATTTCCGGTTCAATTTGTTTGTTCTTTTTATGCAAATTGAATTATATATTCTTCAACATCTGAACTGCGTTGTTCGACGACATTTGACTCACATCGTTTGTCATTTGATTAAAGTACAAATCAACGCCATAATACAATTTCGTGCAGAGAGTCGTCTTTTTGTCCTCAGCAAACCAGTTAGTATTGGCTAAATGAACATACAAAATGATTGATATGTATCTTTAGGGGTCTGCAGTATTTTAGACCTGTGTTCAGTGATTCCTAGCAGTTAGCAGTACGTTACTGAGTTGTTGAGCTGGATCACAGCTGAGGATGATTTAGTCTTTTATGTGAATGTGTTGGTAAAAGACAAAGGTTCTATTGGTAGTTTTGTTTTAACTTCGATGTAAGCGAAAATTTAAGTAGCTAATTATTATTTTTATGTAAATGTCGATATACACATGTAGTCTTTCATTGTTTTGTATAATTGCTCACTACTAGGAGTATGAGTCATTGTTAGTAGTCACATTATTGTTCTTTCCATTGCTGTTTCATCATTTATCTTTGTAGTAGATGCAAATTGTCGTTCTTTGATTAAATTATACAGAATGATCTAATATTTATGCATTGTCATTTTGTTTTGTATTTGCATGGTTTTTCTGTTCTGTTCTTATTCTACCTAATAAAGTCAACTTGTCCTACAAAATTCTATTTTTTTGGCTTCATGGTGTGCGACCTGTGTCCTGACAAGTGCCCCCCCCCCATAAGCTAGAATACGACACTAGCATCCCATTAAGGTCACTGAACTCTTCTTATTCCGAAACCACTCTTGCGTGATGGTCCAGGCGCCATTTTGTCCGTTTCGGGCCGTTGTGAGGCCTTTCTTTCTCTTTTACCTATCTCTTTTACCTATCTCCACTTTCATAGAAGATCTACAGACTTCTAACAAATGGCTCTCGATAGTCTGAGAGATGCTTCTTTGTTTAACATGAAGAAACGCAGGCTTCAATGCACGCACATCGTTCTGATACAATTGCAGTTCAAGTCTTAGTCTTCTTCTTTTCCCCCGAAATCCCTTTCATTTTGCACGTAGCGCTTTTGAATCTAATCTAGGTCCCATTCTCCAACCCAATTCCTTTCAAATTTTGTAGTCGTAATCTCTGATATCTAATCTAGGGCACCTGAGTCTTCGTTTTCCAAGATCACCGTGACTGATACGTAACCATCCAGTCGCCGTTTTGTTTGTTTCTGGTCCATTTAAGGCATTTCATTCTTCCTTCGTATCTCCACTATCCTTGATGCTACAGACTTTTATAAAATTCCTCCAGATAGTTTAAGAGATTATTATTTCATCTGCCATGTAAAAACAGGCCCTTAAAAATTCCATCTTCATACTGGAACTTCAAATCCGAAATTAAATCCGTCAAAAATCACTATGACTGTTTAACAATTGAACGCTAAAAAACGTAATTGCCATAACTGATACCAATTCCGTTTTGTCTCACATCCTTACAGTATCTTGTTTTTATAGAAGCACACAATCCTACTGAATTTCAAGTTCCAATGGTCACGCATGATATAAATAGCTCCCTCTAAAGTCCTGAAAATGGCTTTCTTTCTGTGGCCGTAGCTCCATCGTGTCTGGCCAAAACCGCACCCTTTTTGTGGATTTGGATACTTCGAGATATGCCCTTTTTCTCTAGTTTAGTTTCATTTCTAGATCATTTCCCATGAATCTTTCATTTGTCCTTGAGTCTTGACAGAGAATGTTCATAATCCCTTTAAACTGGTTTTGTTGTTGTGTTTTGTTGTTATTAAAGGGATTATGTCCCATTTGCAGGCCAAACAAATGAAAACGTTAAATTCCATCGGCATTTGAAAGACAACACTAATTTATAACTTCCCTCCAAACGAAAATGCTTGAAAATGGCTTTTAGTGGGAAAATAACGACTATTAGTTTTCAAATCGACTGATTTGCATACGCTTGTACCGAATGATTGCACGTTTTTTGCGGCTCAAAGTTTCAATTAATTTAATTTTGGCCATCACAAGTAGTGGGTTATTGATGTAGACAAATGCTCATGTACCCGTTATTACAAAGAACCTTTTCGTCATGATTACCGTATCCTTATTACAGCCCCCTTACACTTTAAAGAAAACAAATCTTGACTAGCAAAATAAATCTAGAAGGTCTGCGTCATTGCGAAAGGGAGAAAAAACATTGATTTAGTTTTGCACTTTCACTAAAAATATCATGCTTTTTCCCTAGAACTTGCTTCAACCTCAACTCTAAAAATCCAGGCACCGCCAGTTGTCGTGGATCAATATTTTCCTTCCATTTTACCATCCCATCTGGCATATTCTACTGGCATTTTGCATCATTTGCTTGCTTGTCGAGGTACAGAACGGTCGAGATGTTTTCATACGTGTGCATCCTTCTTTCCTGTTTCACCATTGCTGTCATTGCTGAAGATAATGGTGAGTGTTATTTCTTTCATAAGGGAATACTTGAATGATTCAATCCAATTTTTGTTTAATGCTATTGATTCTTTATTTATTTAAAGTTTAAAGACATTTAGGGAGGCAATCATTTATCAAAGGTTCGTTATTCCCAAGGCTTGTAATTCTGCAACAAAATTTTCCTGTGCAAAGGGGTTCATAATTCCGAAAAATAAAATAGGGTTCAATATTCAGAATAAAGGTTCATTTATCCGAAGGTTCAAAATAATTCTGAAGATGAAATAGGGTAAATAACTTCAAAATTTAAAAGGGTTTGGTATTCCAAAGATTCGTAATTTCCAAAAAGAATAGGCCTGAATCAGGGTTCTTTTTCATTTTCAGAATTATATGAATCTTTGGGATTATGATTCCTATTTCATATTCAGAATTACGAACCTTCAGAAGAACAAACTTTCGGAAATACGAACCTTTCAAATTATAGAACCTTCAGAATAACTAATTTTCAGATCAATCGTACAGTCTTATGCAGGCTTTAATGACTTAATCACTTTGGTGTCATGTCTAAGTCTTCGAGTTAAACCTTGCAATATAGCCGAATGGCTTTTCCCCCTTTTACTTGAAACATAAAACTGCCTAAAGTGTTTAAAAATCCAAGTTTGATAGAAGATTTAATTTATGTATAATACTGGATTATCTTGATTTTACAAAGACCTAAAGGCTTATTAATTTTCAATTAAATGAGGACAAATATTTAATTGTACAACTGTTTTTTGTTGTAAGTTGGTATGGTCAGTATACGTGTTTATGGAAACATGTTTGACATTTCCAGTATTAAGAAGTGTCCGATATTGGTGACATATATATAATATATAGTGCCGTTGCCTGAGTCCGTCATGGGGCTGGGGGTGGGACATCAGTCTTAATAATTGGCTGAAATACGAATCAACAAGACCATCGTGTCGGGAGAGAGTGTATGTTATCATCTGTTCTCCCATGTTCCATTTCCCATCTCCCATCTCCCTTCCCCTCTCTCTGTTTCTCTTTCTTCTATCTTCTATTCTTTTTTTTTTTCTTCATTTTTTGCAAGTGATCGGGGAGAAGTAGGCAACTGCCATCGAGTCTCTTTTACTCTGCTGCTTCCTTTTTAAGAATTTCAGGAATGTCTGGAAAATGAAATAGAAAGACTTTTAAAGATTAATTAACCGTATAGATTGTCGGTAAGGTGGTACTTTAAGGCATACCGGCCTAAAAGCCGTTTGTTTGTTTCTAGGAGCATAATGCTTAAATAATTTTTAAAATGAAATATAGAGTACATAATTCTGAAAAGGAAAAGAGTTTCGGTGATCGAAAGGTTCGTAAATCCGGAAAGCAATAGGCTTGCATCTAGTTTCTATATCATTTTAGGAATTATGAACCATCAGGATTATGAATCCTATCTTGTTTCGAAATTATGAACCCTATTTAATCTTCATAATTGCGGACCGTATTTCATTTTTAACCTTAGGAAAATACGACATGTGATCTGGTTTTAAGCAGGCTTTAACGACTTATTCAGTTTTGTTTGTGTGTCATGTCTAAGTCTATGAGTTGAACAAATGCAATATGGTTTAGTCAAAACATAAAGCTGTCAAGTATGTTTAGAAATCCAAATTTGATGTGTTATCTGATTATTATCATTTTATTAAGACTTAAAGGGCTAATTAATTTTCCATTACATGACAAGAAATTGATAATGGTATAATCTTTTTTTTGTAAGATGGTATGGTTAGTAGACGTGTAAATGAAACCACATTTGGCATGTGTTTTATTTCCACAATGTAGCATCATTTAGTATGAGTTCTATTTAAAAACTTTTGTACAATTAGTTTGGTGGAAAATATTATTTGAGGCATTAACCTATAACCGGATACTAACCACTCATATTTCGTACTACATTAAAAGCTTTTCAATAAATTGGCTCGGAAAAGTTAGTGACATACAAAGAAAATGCCCATAAATGGAATCTACTTATTTGAAGCGATGAATCTGTGGCACATGGTGAGGATGGTAAAAACAGAACAATTCATACAAAAAAGCATGGTCTTAATACCAAACACTTATTAGTCACTGTAAGATACTAGGATAAAGGTAAATTATATTTCAGTATTAATTACATTTTCATTTTATCGACAAGACCATTATTAAACACACTTTACTATGTATAAAATGATTAAAAAACCTTTGATTAGCCCCCCCCCCCCCCCCCTTCGCCCGCCCTCCTGAAAATTAACCGCACGGACAATCAGCCGCCCACTCCCCTTGGAAAATTACCCCCAGTAAGAAAATGACTTGTATTATAACCAACTTATTATCAGGGTAGACTACCCCTTTAATGAACAGGGAGGGTAATTTTTTGGGGAGAGGGTGGTTGTCCTTGGCGATGCTTGGGGGAAGGGGGAGGAGTAACCCCCTGTCCACACACAACATTTTCCATGATTAGGCGTGATTAGCTATACCGTTTCGCGATAGTGATACAGTTTCGCAATAGTTTTACGATGAAAATTGTGTGTGTGGACGCTCACTAACGATACGTCGTATAACGAAACTAGTCTAACGAAACGCAGGTTTGGGCATCGTTTCGAACTGAAACTCAATAAAGAATCACGCCTAATCACGGAAAATGTTGTGTGTGGACAGGGGGAGTGTAACTAGTGTAACTTACTGGGCGGGGCTTAACGTGACCTCGAGCAAAAGGAGACCAGACCTCTCATTTTCGCTTCCATTTCATGACCGCAGTAGCAAACTGCGCACCTATACGACATTTCGCTGTAGAGTTTCAGGATTACTTTCTTCTGTGTGTGGACATCCTGGAATTTATACGATGATTATTTATACGACGTTTCTTGTGTGTGGACACTTTGAAAGTTATAGGATGATTCTTTATACGACATTTCGTTATAGAGTTTCGGGATAAATTATTTTGTGTGTGGACACGCTGTAAGTGTCCCGGGGGATGGTTGTCCTTGGTTGTCCAGAGAGGGGGAATTGTCATTAAGGGGGTAATTTTTTAGAGGTCCTAAAAATGGCTTTCTTTCTGTGGCCGTAGCTCCATCGTGTCTGGCCAAACCCGCCCCCTTTTTTGGATTTAGATACTTCAAGATATGACCTTTTTCTCTAAATTAGTTCTTTAAAAAGTTTATAATTTCATATCTAGATCACTTCGCATGAATCTATCATTTGTCCTTGAGTCTTGACAGAAAAGTCAATAATCCTTTTAAACTGGTTTTGTTGTTGTGTTTTGTAGTCAGGATTATGTCCCATTTGCAGGCCAAACAAATGAAAAGGTTAAATTCCAACGGCATTTGAAAGACAATGCTAATTTAGAACATCCCTTCAAACGAAAGTACTTGAAAAATGGCTTTTAGTGGGATAATAACGACTATTACATGTAGTTTTCAAATCGACTGATTTGCAGACGCTTGTACCGAAAGGTTGCACGCTTTGTGCTGCTCAAAGTTATGTTGGCCATCACAAGTAGTGGGTTATTGATGTAGACAAATGATCATGTACCCGTAACAGTTCATTTATGTTATTACAAAAGAAAAAGAAATGTTAGTCGGTCACTCAATAGTGTCAGACAATAAAGTCTAGAAGGTAACCAGGTATCCTTGCATAATTTGAATACTAGGACCAGGGATATGTGAGTTAAATTCACATATCCCTGCTAGGACGCTGCTAATGTTTAAATTTCACGGATACGACATACATGACATATACATGTACGGTACATAATTCCTGCAAAGTTCTACAGAATTGGATGTTGGCTGCAAAAGGGACATAGTATCTTTAAAGTGCAATGTCTAGAAGAAATTTTGATTGAAATGTGGACACAGACAAATATTGTGTACTCACTTTTGTGAGGGAACAATAAAAGAACATGTGTTTTTTTTTTTTTTTTTGCTTCCCAGTGTTTCTTCCCACGTTCACGGCTTCACGCACAAAACATTGCGAGCCTTCAAACAACAAAGGGTTTACACCCAGATGACTATATATAGGGTATTTGGGTGTTTTCCACTATCAACGTGTGAAGATTGGCGAAGCTGTTATATTACCATATGGTGATATGACGCAAACCCTCAGATACTCTTTGATTCTATTCTCACTGAGGGGTATTTTGACCCCCCCCCCCCTGCCCACCGCACTTTACAAAATCCACGACTGCTGCAAAACTGCTTCAGATTGCGAATTGCCTTTTCGTTATTTTTCCTTTTAAGGGTCTCGCAACTTTTGAGACCAAGTTTGCCAAATTGGGCAATCTTTTGCGGGGCCACACAACATTTCGTTGTCACATGTTGTGACAAAAAATTAATGAAAATTTACATCTTGCATGAAGTTGTCTGACTCTCATTGTTTGCACATTGTAAAATAGTTTACAGTTAGGCTGGAAAATGTATGGATGGGACGGTAGAGAGATTGAGCAACAAAAAGTAATCTTGACACTGATTGAAAAGGTTTGGGGAAAATTAGAAGAAAAAAAAATGATTTAAAACTGGCTAGAAGGAAATCTTGAATGCTGTACAAATTGGACATAGCGAGGCCCGCTGCAAGTAGCGCTCTATAACCACACTTTGGTTTTAGGACAAGAAGCAGTAGATAATCGGTGGCTCGGCAGTCTTGAGTGTATTTGAAAGAGAGCATCTAATATTCCAATGAATTCAAATTACTGGATAAACAAACAAACAGGGACAGAGAGGGGGGGGGGGTGTCTTCCCAAGTGGGAGTTTATGGGGGAAAATGGCACCTCCAATACTCCAAGGGAAAAACTGAATGCAAACATTTTGTAGACATTGGTATTGTTATATCATTATCAGGAATGATTTTAATATTTGTTACTCTCTTAACTCGGTCCAAGATATTACTTTGCAGTTGGGTATGATGGTCTGAATGTTCATTTATGAGCGATCCAAGCGAGCGAACAATAAAGTTATAGATTTGTGAGGTCACACGGTTGGAAATACAACATCATTGAAAAAGGAAAA